CTGAGACAACAGCTTACCATACATTACTTTCACAGACCACTTAATCCGAGAGTGCTTCTCTCCCCTTCTGTCTGTTGTTGACCCTGCCACTACAGATAATAAATGCTGTACATGTGCTTGTACCCAGGCACTTAGGAGCCCTGGAGTCACCTGTAAATGCTTAGGTCATAGTGCAGTATGAATAATATTAAAAGATAAAATCTAATCCCATTACTGGAGTTACTCTGCCTGCTGATGGACGTCTGAGAGGATCAGCATCACCAGAGTGAGAGGCTGCTGAGAAAGGGAAGAGCAAAGAGCTACTAAGTATTTTTTCTGTCTTTTATAAAAGATATTCTTGATTACATCACCACTGCTGTTCTGGAGCAATCCCATGAGTTTTAGACATTAGATATTAAAAATTAAGAAGAATTTTGTCTGCTGTACATCACCTTTGCAAACAAACCACTCTAGCTTCAGTGGAAGCCTGGGTTTCCTTACATGCTGGGGGCTGAGTTTACACAGACTAAATTGGTAGGCTTAACAGTGGTGACACAGAGAGCAAATGCTGACTAGAGCAGCAATAGAAAGCACAGGATTTTTTTTTTTCTGACATACGTAACATGATTGGCTTTGTATGCTGTAAACAGCTGTAGGATAAAACGTTTTCATTAGACTATACCTTATAGAACACTTTCTTCCTATGCAATTTTCTTCTTACCATTCTCATTTCACAATATTTATATTCTTCTATTTGAATTAGTCTCTATAGCTACAACCAAGTGTAAAGAAAAAGGTAAGCGGTCGATCCAACTAGTAAACATTGTGTAATTTTGTATAAATACCCATTCTTTAGGATTTTGATCTCTTAAGTGCTTACGTATTGTTCAGTGTCACTGGTGTCCAGATTTACCTGCTTCATTAACTTTGTCTGTTTTCCCAAGTCCAGTGTCACTTGATGTATTTCCTTCCTCTTCCTTGGTATGCTCCTCTTTTTTGACATAATAAAGTACTGTTTTCATCTTGCTGTACATCATTAACTTGCTTGTCCTTAGTTACTCTAAATGTGTGCTGGTGAGAAGAGGAATTCCTACTTAGTCCTGCAAACTGTTGATTCAGTGGGGTAGGGCTTGAGCTTTTCTAAAAACAATCTGGGTGGCAGTTGGACACCAGCTGGGTGGCCTTAGGCCAGGGGACAACACCTGCTGTTCTCCACTCCCTTGTCAGTATGCCTCCAGGCTTGGCTTGACACACACTAGAACCTGTGGCCGAATAACAGTGGTGGCTGGAACAGCCACTCTGTACCAGGGGAAACATCCCTCAGGATAGCGCAGCAAGCAACTGTTCTTTTTCTATCAACTATGAAGGAGGAAGTGAAAGAGGGGAAAAAACCCCAACCAACCCCCAGGGTATTACCATCTCATTGGTGTCAGTTCACAGTTCGGCAGTCTGTCTCTCTCCAGGTGCCAGGTGTTTGCTTTCTGGTGTGATAGAGGGATTGCTTAGCTAGTGGTTCCTGACACTTTATATAGGAGGAGTTCAAAATGCAGAAAGTTCTTCTGAGGTTGTTCTCCTCCCATGCTTCCTTTCTTCCGTGCAGGTCTTGGATGCAGGGAACTTTTTCCCTGCAACCTGGAATGCTGCCCTTCTCTCCACCAGCTTTTCAGTGCTAAGTATATAGAAAAAATGTTAGAACAGTAAGGGCCAGATTGGAGGGATAGCTTTGAGACTTTGTTTTTTGTTGCTTCTAAGAGAATAACATGGTAGGCCTTCCCTTCTCCTTTTCTCACCTCCACAATACAGACTGGAGACAGCCCATATCCTTAAGGACTCCAGAGACACAGCTTTACTGGCAGATCACAACTCAGGCTCACTACTGGTCTCTCACTTGGATGTATGGAGAGGGAGCTTTTATCCAGACTGCAATCTGGTAGTCCTTGCAGTTTAGTTGGTTACCCCAAGAGTGCCCCAAGGGGGTTATTCCTTATTTCAGGTAGTACTTTCCAGATTCACAGTTGGTTAGGCCATCTGCAAGACTAATGCACTAGAGAGTTGAAACCTGACAGTGGGTGATGTGAGTGAAAGATATGGCTTTTCACACTTGCCCAGAATAACTGAAGAGTAGGAGAGTGGGAGAAGAGGGGACAGATAGTTGCCACAGTAGGGCTGGCAGGGGAGGTTCTGAGTGCTGTAAGAAGGAGAAGTAAATGTTCTCATAAACAGAACCAGCTGTGCTGGAGTTTGTGAGGCCACTTATTTTCGAAGCAGACTTCAGCTGACCCAAGTTTGTGTTCATAAAAATCTTTGTGGCTGGTCAAAGTGCCATTGGTGTTTAGTATGAATAAATGTTTACAAGAGTGTGCTAGAAGTCCTGTTTCAGCCACTCTGAAAAGTTATGGTTTTAATTATTTATTCATTAGATTAATCTGATACTGACAAGTGGCCCTGGGTAGCTGGCAGGAAGGCTGAATGGTGCACTACTGATTTTTATGCAGTGTAGGTTTTTCCAGTCTGAGACTGAAATTACCATCTGGTGACCATTCAGAGAAAAAATGGAACAAAATCTCTCAAATTTTACATGTCTTCCTTTCAGCTTCAAACTTTTCATTGAATTTTTTTTTCCATACACCCTACCCACCCCCACTCTTGTTCTCTAGTCATTAGAATTCCTTGTATAGCACTTTTCTTCATCTCATGGAGACTTCTGGGATGAAAGTGTGTGTGGGGAGGAGAAGGAATGAAGAAACAGTGGGAATATAGCTGTTTATGGTGTCAAAGAGGTGCATAATGAATTTTCATGCTGCAGAGATTTCATGTCATACATAAAAGTTTCTGAGAGATGAAGAATTCAGTTATAGTTGTATAGGAGGGATTTTTGTGTTAATTTGTGGTTCCTTTGTGTTGTTTTTTTTTTTTTCTATGTGGCAAGTCATGGGCCACTTTTGCCATTGTTCTATGGTCTGGTCCAGAACACACTTGAGTATATGGCAGGGAAGTTGGTAGTGCTACTGACAAGTTAAGAAATCTGAAACAAATCTCAGTCTTCCTGATGTTATCAGAGTTTAAGGGTGTTATCTGAACATTACTGAAGTACATGCGACTATTTCCAGTGGTTTTGGAAGGCTTTGGATTATACCCTCAGAGACAGGCCTTGCAGTTTAGTTCAAAAGTCCAAGTATTCTGCAGGAGGTGTTCCTGTGTCAGTGGCTTCCCCAATCACAGCTGTCAGGTCAATGAGCAACACTAATGCTTTCATAGTGCTTTCAGGAAAGGGTTTAATGGTAACATATGTGTTGGTCATTGGACTGACTGATCTGAGGTTTCAGAAATTGGTGCACAATTGTTCTACCTCTAGTTTGAATTCTATGGCCTCAGGGCTTTGTAACAGTGAGGAAGAAATCCAAGCAGTGGAGATTTGCTTATTCACTTGCATTTTTCAGCCTTTCTTCAGAATTACGGTTAAAGTATTTTTCTTCTTATGCTTCATATAGTCTAATAAATGCCAGGTTGTTTTTTTATGAAGCCATTAGTTAATGTCATCTGAATATTTTCAAATGATGTGACCAGGAGGCACATTGACAAGATGCTACATCAAGTCAAGTAGATTCTGTTCATAGGTAACATATTAACAATTACTGCAGAAGGCAAATTTCTTGTCTGATGATGCATTTTAATTTCACATTGTTGTGGGTGAGTCATTTTAGATGTTAAGGAGCCATGAGGTGCTGAAGTCTGACAAAGCTGAGTATTAAGAGGGCACACGTCCACAGTACTTGTGCCTAAACTACCTGGATTTCAAATGTAAAAAATACTTTCTGAAAGTTAGCCCCATCCCAGTTGTGATGTCATAAAAGTTTCCAAAAGGAGGATTTGTCGTAGTGTAATGGTATCTGCTCCTTGATTAGGGATGACTCTGATTATGGATGACAGGATCTGCAGTACTGTCTTGTACAGAAATTAGATCTTCCTGTAGGCTCTGTCTTTCAGGCATTACTTATAAGTTTTGCCAATGTCTCCAACCTACACCTTTCAAAGTATATACAGTATACAGGTCTTTTTTCTACTTAAACTTTTTTTTATACTTAAAATGGGTGAGTGATGTTAATGAGAGTTTAAATTTAGAAATGAGAAACATTCCATTCTGTAACAAAATATTTAAGTTATTCTTTTTGTTTAAATTACTATTACCATATTGTTTAAATTACCATTACAAATGCGGATAGATATGTGTCGAAAGGAAGGCTGGCTATGGGGAGCAGTCTGTGATGCAGTAGAAGAGACCAGCTTATATATTTCATCATTTTTGAGGCTGATCCTGAGAGATTGACTGCTTTCTCCTCCAACTGCTATACTATTTATCTATAATATAAAAATAAAAAAATATAATATAAAAACTATTTATCTATAATATAAAACACATTTTCAAGGAAATTATGTCTGCAAAAGATGCAGAAAGTGGCTAGTGCCAAGGTAGCATGTTAGATCAAAACTTGTGTTCTGAAATTTCTGCATCCTTGTGGCAGAAGAAGGGCAAGCAGCAGCTGAGAGCTTTTAGTGAAGTTAGTGGTTTCTTATTTTACTCTTGTAATGTTTTAAAAGAGAGTAAAATTTGCTAAGGCTTAATAGCAGAACTGAATGATCTTCCTTTGAAGGAGAAAACCTGTTTGACCTTTCAGTACTCTAGTAGGATAGCATATAAGTAGTCCAGCTGATCCAGCATTTGCATTTAAGGCTGCATGAGTGAAGTGTGCCTGAAGGGAACTATAAAATAAGATAGTGTCCTTGATTAATCTTAAACATCTGGAAAGAGTTTGGGGTGCAAAACCCAAACTTTTCTCAAAACTGTGCATGTGCACCAAGGTCTGCTAATCTGACCTTCTCCTGTTATGAGTGTTCACTGGGATCACTGAAAGCCCTTGTGTGAATGGCTCTCAGATCACTTGCAGGTAAGCTTAATGGTAAATTTTATTGGAGCAAGTATAGAGGAAATGCCTGTAAGTCTCATCCTACCTCTTTTGCAGCTGGAAGAAGGAGAGCACTTTGCTAAAATGGTGATAGACCTGGGTGAGGATGCTGGAGAGTCCCTAGCAAAGGGTTACCTGGCACTGGGCCTGACATACAGCCTTCAAGCTACTGATGGTGAGTTACTTTTTTGTCAAGTGTGTTATATGGAGAGCATTTGTTCAAAGTCTTCAGTGCAAGCAATGGGAATTTATTAGAAAATCTGCTTGCAGTGCTGATTAGACATGAAAAACAATCAGATTGCAAGATAAATGGGAGCTGTTAGAGAACTGTCTTCTGTGGTAAAATAAAAGTGAAATTTTTAGGCAAAGGAAGAAATGCAGGTCAGTACTAGGGGGGGATAATCTGAGCATAGCTGACAATGCTTGGTGTGCTTTACTTGAATATTTAATACATTTTTTTTGCTTAATTTACACAACAAAAAGTCAGACTTTCCATCTGTTTTCATATTTTTGTCACCCACTCATAAATCAAAGAAATACAATTCAAGAACTGGAGTCAGAAATGCCTCGCTTCAGTTCCTGGTGTGATACTGATACCCCACAGAGATTCAACCTTTCTGTGATGTTGTTTATTTTACTTAGAAGTAAACAAGATAAAACGGTACATGTGGATGTTGACTAGAAACAGACCACTGAATGTAAGAAGTGTTTTATTTTAATCTGTTTACTTGGATCTTGAATGAATGGACAAGGGGTTCCTGCAGAATTGGTGCTTCGTAGTCAGAAGAGCTTGAAGTATTTGAGAGAGTTCTAGCTCTGACCTTCATCAAGCTCACAGGTGGGAGCAATCTTTGTTTATTCTATGGGTTCTAACACAGGTAGACGACTTCTAACACATTTTCTTTGGATAATGGCTGAGCTGGTGTGTTTCCTAATAATTTTGGCAGTCCTGCCCTCTTGCAAACAATGGCTTTTCTGTTGGATAGGTTCCATGGAAACAAACCAACTTCCTCCAGCAAAGAAGCCTGAATCAAAGATAAATTGCTCTAATACATTGTCATGGAATATGCAGGCCTTGAAACTTACACCAGAATTCTGCAAGGCATCTGTATGAGAAAATGTTCTTGTGCTCTTCAGTAGCGCAAGTTGGTGTAGATTTTCAGCCAGCCATATCTGATCAGCTGTTCTGAGAACTGCTTTTCACTATGGAGGCTAACAGGCACTGCAGCTTTCTCCTGTTCTCCATTTCTCTGCCTCAGAGTAGTTGTCCCTAGAAAGTTCATGTCAAAAATTATGTCCTTCCTAGTCTGAATTTTCTTATATATATATATAATATATTTTAAGTCCACTAGGGATAGAGTTCTGCTTAACAGCCTAGTTTTAAAGGAATTTTGCCTAGACATAGTTTAAACTGTTCTAAAGCAATACAAGATCCCAGAGACAATTTTCAGAGATAGGTTTTCTATGTTAGCCCCTTACAATCTCTTTGTAAACTTCAGTATGTAAAGAAGGTGGTTTCCGAGGAATGGAGTAGGAGAGGCATGTTCTGTACTCTGTCTCTAAAGATACTTTGGTGCAGCAAAATATGAGTTGAAAACACTTCTGGAAATTTCTTGCATTTTCAAGAGACAAGTTCAATATTGTGTCCTTTTTAATGTAAAACAAGCAGTCTTCACAACTACTGCCTTGGATTATCTTCAGATTAGCCTCTGATTTATGTTTTGAAGCAGTGGAATATATCTGCCTTCTCATTGTATCTCTAGCTCTTAAGGCAACAGGACAAGTCACTCAGTTATTTGAGGGAAATAGGAAGAGGATATTTTCATCTTGCAGACTATATTTTAATAAAATTGATTAAGTCCTTCAAAAGCATACATATGATGGTCATGAATATGGAACTGTGTTTTCATGGAAAATGTCAAATTTGCACTAGCAAGACATTTTTCATTAGCATTGTTAAAAATAGCATAGGACAGTGAGGAAGCAAAGCTAGAACATGCTGAAAGACAGCATTTCTGTGATGTAATCCTACCTCATGTTGTCAATCTTGTTTATCATTGTATTTATACCAGTTCTTACTGACATATGCAGACAAGTCATACATCTCTGTGTGTATATGTGGGATTCCTGTAACTTTCCAGTTGAGATGACTTTCAGTTAATCAGTATTTTCAATGGTAGCTAAGTGTTTCAGAGATATTTGACCAATTGCCTTCTAAAGCGTACCGCCTTCCATCCAAGTTAGGCTCTCTTATTTAATATAACCTTTTAGTAATTATTTCTCCTCCTGTGTAACAAAGGCACTGAGGAGTTGTATTAAAGCCTTTTCTTTGTGGCTTGAAAAAAGCTCCTGTAGGAAGTAATACTTCCAGAAACTTACGCTGGGTAGCTTCGTTATTCTTAATGTTTAATTACATGTTTCTTGAAGTAAGTCTCATTGAAGTAGTTTAAAACTACTAGTTTAAAACCATTACTCCTTGTCCTATCACTGTAGGACCTGGTAAAAAAATAACCCTCTGTCTTTCTTAAAAACCCCCTTTAAGTATAAAAGTATATTTAAGTATTAAAATACTTGAATTTCACTGGATTTGCTGCATTATTATATGCTACTTAGTAACTTTCTATTTTGGAGCATACACTGACTTGATGTATCAAATCAGATATGTTCATGGGTTATGTTTGCTGATGGATTAACTGCTCATCATCACTTCCTTATGCTGTTGGTCAATAGCTCTCAATTTCAGGATATGCAGAACAAGAAACAACTGCTGTGCAAAATCCGAAAACCTAAGAACCAGAACAAGATAGCTGATGCATTTCTAAAAACCATCATTAGGTTTCCAGATATTTTGGATCTGAGAAAGACATGTTCCTTTAAGCTCTTATTATGTTCCTGTTGATCTTGATGATGATATCTTATGATACCCAAGTATAACAAGAGCTTGATTCTTCTCTCCTTTTCTGGTTTTAGGTAGGAATTAATTTATACATTGATATGTGTGCATACTGAGCAGGATCCATTAGTCAAGCAATTAGAGGCATGGAAGAAGGGCATTAGTGGCTAATGCCACATCTGAAGTAACCTAAAAATTCTGTTGTGGTCTCAAAGATGGTATTGTTTTGTCACAGAGCTGTGAGTTCAGCTGCTGGTGTTCCCTGTTCAACCTGCAGCACCTTCCAACATGAAGATGGTGGTGGGGGCTGTCTGTATCTGAGTCAGAATGTGCTGCAGATTACTGCTTCTAGCATTTGCAGCAGCCTGGCTGAGGGCCTGTTACCTTCTTGGTATGTAATATCTAGTTAGTGTTTGGCCCCTTCTCCCAGCCCCGATCAGTGGCATATGTAAATAAAAAAATGCTTCAGTATTTCAAACAAAGGACATAAAATAATCTTTAATAAAAATGAACTTGAGAATTCAAATGCTCAAAATGAGCACATGCACATTTCACACACAGATTTCCACAGTGTTTACACTCCCAATTTGAAATACTCTATACATTTATTTTTTTTAATCTGAAACATTGAATGAACTCTTATATGGCATGGTATCTTGTCCTACAGCTACTCTAAAGAGCACTCAGGATGAATTAAACAAGAAAGCACTTCAGACTTTGGAGAGGTGAGTAGGAATTTTGCAGATACTTGCACTGTGTATTTTTTTCACAAATTCAGAAGAATTTTTCTTTTTATGTTTCTTTTTCCTCTGCGTTCCTTGCTGGAAAGTTTGAATACAGTTCATTAGATTTCATCAGTAGTCTGTCAAAACCATTTTTGTGATGGCTAAATGCAGTGATTATTTGATTGAATATCCAAGGTAAGAGTACTGTTCTGCCACCCTAGAGAAAAAACCTTAGCCCCAAATTAGCTGCAGTGAGATCTACAGTGCTGGGAGATGCAGCTTCCTCACATGATGCCAGCTGCCAAACGTGGAAAGCTAATTTTGTCTCAATTCCTGTATGAAGCAGGCTTAAAATCTTATTTCCTTCATGGTGGGAAAGTACCTTCACCGTCAGAGTGTAGGCAGCTATGGGGTTACCTGGCACCAGTGCATTGAGGGGAGAGAATAATTGCTGTCCTAATGAGTGTTTACATGAGCTGTTGTTGGAAGAGGAGATTCCAGAGCTAGTGGTACAAAGCAGGCACCACTCACCTCTCCTTAATCCCTGTAGTTTTGGGGAAAACTGTTAAAATGGCTCCACCCTGGAAGCAACTGCAGATTACACTCTTGTGTAACTACGCTTGAGACCTCAAGTAGAACTGCTTGATTTAAACCTATTTTTGTCCATTCTGCTGTCCAACCCACTGTAAACGTAGATGCCTACAGACTACAGATAGCAATTAAATGGAAGTTTATGCGGGCTAATGTAATGTGCCGCCGTGGGTGGGGAGACAAAACTCACGACTCATGCTCCAGGTGCTCATGAGACAAAACAGCCTCATTTATTATTCAGAACTCACTTAAATACCCAATTCAAATTTTCTGGGCCAGACAGACATTGGCTGATATTTCTCTCCCTGCTCAGCTTCCTGGCCAGTGATGTGCTTGCTTCTCATCTTGAATGGGTCTGGCCGAAGGTCCCCTATGACTTATCCAGGGACGTGTTCAGACATGAGCTAGGCTACTGAATTAGATTTGTGTTATGGTCAGATTTACTTTGTCCAGTCCAGACCAGCTGTACTGTGATAATACTGTGACATTCTAAGTCTTGGGCTGAAGTATCTAAGTTTGTTGTGGTCATAATTACATAAGTGAAGAAAACTTGAGATCTTTGGTATCTCAAAGTACAAGTTTAGCAATTTGAACAACGTTAAAGGATCTTAAATGTTTTGCTGATGCTGACCAAGAAGGAGCCCAACATGTTTGTCTTACACTGGTTTTGTAGTGAGTGCAAGAACTGAAACCACAGATACAATTCTGGATATTTGCCTTATGGAGGTCTGAGAGAGAAAAATTTTAAAAGCCATTTATTGATTCAGTATTTGGATCAGGAGTGTATTTGAACTTTTAAGTCACACTAGTTTGTGGACTCCATTGTCATACATTAACTTCTGACCAATTTTAAGGAATTGTGGTACTGCTCTGCTTTTGAACTTTTGGGGTTTTTTTATCCTTTGACCTTTCCCATTGTCGGTGACTTGTTTTCATGGTATCTTAACTCTATCTAGGAGGCAGACAAGCTTCTTGCCAAACAGTAGTTACTCAAACTTCAGCCAACAGGAATGTGATAGTGAGCTGATTGCTAGTGTTTTTCTAAATGCTTAAGTTTGGTTTCTTTCCTTTTTTTACCTTCCTTGTTTTTTCACCTCTTTTTGAAGAATATGCATGATGTCTCAAGCCATGGTTTGACCTGAAGGAATTATTTTATTGTTACTTGTTTATTATGAGCAAATCAATAGTTCTGGCATGGTTTTTTTAACCATCAGTGTTGTTAGCCTGTCCTTTCTCCCTCATAAGGACATTAATTGTGCACACTTGAGGGCTGGCAATGCAGGTGCAAGTTTCCCTGGTGTCCTGGAACGAAGCCCAGAAAGAGGTCAGGAATGTTAATTGGCTATGAGGGAACTTCCTCTTCCCCATTTCTCCCATGTGAAATGACTTCCCTGTGCTGCAGAACTATGAGTGAGCTCTGTGAGTCACAAGGAGAGAGAATCCACTGGTTCCTGTCATCAAATAGTTCCTCCCTCTATGTCTTCCCTTTCCAAATTAGGAGTCTACGGTCAAAAATTAAACTAGAAGCTGCAGAGTGGAGAATGTTTTATGTGTTTGAGCATCAGCTTGTGTCACAGGCTTCTGATCTTTAGTCCTCTACATGCTCACAGTGACTTTTTCAGTGCTAACCTAGCCCTCTCTTAATGTTTTAAAAGTGGCAGTACAGGAACAAGTTAGACAACTATGACCATCACCTAAATAACTTAAAATAATGCTTTGTTGGGTTTATTATGAGCTCAGAGCTACTTTTTCTATATTGGTTATCCAAGTTCCAAAATGTTAAGTGGTATTTTAAAAAAGATCATGTAACTTGTATAACACCCTGGCAGCTGTGTTTCTCATACTTTTTCCTGGGATTCTGGCTTAGCCAGGCCAGCACTGTTCTGCTTTTTATCTAATTTGTGTGCTTCTCCATTACTGGACTAGTTTTCTGTGGGGAAAGACTGGGTTTTGTTCTGTGCTTATTTGACTCATGGTGAAGGAGCTCTGCAAAGCGCAATCTAACAGTCGCTTTTCTTTTTTTATTGTGTGGTTGTCCTTAAAGAGCACGTGACCTGGCCCCCGAAGATCACCAAATCATCCTTTACCTGTCACTGCAGCTGGCTCTTGTCAGACAGGTATGTGAAATATTTGGAAATCACCGAGTCACAGGAGGGTGGAAGGGCAGTCCAATTGAACAAGACCCAGGCTTGCTAAACAGGGTCCTATCCTTCCTGCATTGTAACCAGTAACAAGCAGTCAGAATACATTTATGTAAAATATTTTTTAATTCTTATTCTAAAAATAATAATTCTTTAGCATGTGGAACGACCTTCCCTAGGGAATGTGTTCTGCTCTAACTCCTGAGCAGTCTTGGAGCAGCCTTGTATGTGTGGGATGAGCAAGGTGTTTATTCCTGTTCTGTAGGTATCACACTGTGTCCCACTGTAGACTGCTCCAGAGGCTCTCCCATTACTGCCCGATTCCGTATCATGCCAGATTGTGTGCTCCCCATGCTGGGATTGCTTTATTTGATACTTGAACACATTTGACGTTAGTCTTTGATGTGTGCTGGAGCTCTGCAGTGAGTGGGATTACTTGGCATTTGAATGCTGCTGCAGGTGTTAACTCATAAAAATGAAGCTGATCAGCAAATGCTCTGCGCTGCCTTTCAGGAAAAAAACCCAACCATTTGGGTTGTGCTTTATTTTTCTGCCCCTCTTTCTTAAAATTGGCATGTTTTATTTCTTTGTCCTTTCTGTTTAAAAGCTAAAGTCCTTATTGGAGCAGCTTTGTTTTTTAAATACCTCTCCAGCTAGATTTGAAATTTCATCATTGTAGTTTCTTTCTTTGGCAGGCCTTCTTCTTGCTGCAGTTTTCTCTCCTTAGTTTACAAAATGGAGTTGAACAGTTGTGTATTTCTTGCTTTCCTGAGCTAAGAGTGGATCTGTGGGTTCATTAGGTTAAACTAATTGTTCCAAGAGAGCACCCTCTTGATAATGTCACTTTTGTAGCCCTTTCATAATGAGAGCAGTGTGCTGTGAGCCTGCAATAAGAAATGATAATTAAAATGGCTTATTTAACTTTCTCATCTGCCTACTGGCTGCTTTATGATGCGGTTTGCTCAGGGTCTTTCATTAAAAAGCACCCAGCTACCCTTTTTTCTCTCTCAGCATTTGCCTCATAGGGAGATTGTCTGTCTGCTGCCTCTTCTGGTTGCCTTTAGTAAAAGCATTACAGCTTTTCAGCTGCTATCCTGAAAAATAAAATAAAATGTTTTTGTAGTCATTGTTTTTTTGTTGTTTTCACTGTTACTGGCATTTTAAGTCATTACCCTTTCTTTTTCTCTGTTTGTAGCCTGTCTTTGCAGTGTTGTTTCGTCTTTCTTGTTGCATTTCCCTTCCCTCCTGTTCTTCCCATTCAGTCTCTTGTCTCTGTGTTCACTCTCCTCTTTTGTCTAGTTCACCTATATGTTTTCATCCTTGGTGTTGTGCCAGTCTCCTCTACTCCCACAGCTATATGATCTCAGTGTATTATGTAGTGTCAGCCTGACCCCTGCGATGGTGCTCATGCTCTTCTCCCATCAAGTGAGATATAAATCTTTAACACATGCTTGGACAGAGAGGAGATACCTGAGATATCTTTATTTTTAGACTGCTGTAAAATAGCCTCCTCTTCTTTTGCCAGTTTACTTAATTATAAACATTTTCTAATGCATTTTTAATATCCTTAATTATTTAAAGTATCTAATATGTTATCTTTCTGATTAACTGAAAGATAAATGATATATTTTTTTGATAGATTGCATTAACTATTGAACATCACAGTTAGGGCTTTCTTCAGGCAATGCTATAATACAAATAAATGAGGCCTTTTCTACATAGTAGGTTATAATATAATACCTGAATGTTTTTCTCAACAAACAAGTCTTTTTGTTCCCATAGTCAGAGTCAATAAAAGATGTAACTGTACCCAGCATTGAAAAACACAGGTATCAGCTTACATAGATAAGAGAGTGTTTTCATGGAACAAAGCAAGAGAGGCAACTAACCAGTAGAGTGCCAAGCAAAGCTGGAGCAATTCATCTTCCTTGCAAGGCTGTAAAATATTTCCAATAGCACTTGTCTCTGTCACTACAGGGCAAGGCAAAGGGGAAATGGAAAAACATAAGCATCCCTCTGACATGAGATGAGGATGTGACAAGAAGAGAAATGGTTATAAAAGGTTCATGCAGCATTGGCATTTGAAACCACCAGCAACCAAGATAAAAAATTATGATGATGAGCTTTGTGTGTGCACCTGTGTCTTAAAGACCACTGAAGCCACTGGGAAGACTTGGAGGGTCTACATCAGCCCCAGAGTGTTTTAGTGGATTTTTCAGCCAAACAGTGTAGAATAACCTGTTCTGTGAGGAGGGTCTCTCAGTCTGGTTTTCCCCCTGAGCTGAAGTGCCAGGAGAACAAGGTCCGTACCTGCTGCAGTGGGTACCTCCACCTGCAATGCCTGGCTGGCAGCTGGCCAAGCCAAGAGACAAATGAGACTTGTAGCTCCCAACTCTCAGTGGCTGGTTTGGCTACTTTTCCTGTTTCTGTGGTAACAGCACTTGGATCAGCAAAAACAAGGTAGAATGCACATTTTAAAGCTCACTGATTTTAATGCATTGCCTTGTTTTTTAGCAGACCAGTTTCTATGGAAATGACTCTGTAGTGTCAGCAGCAGTCTTGTTACTTTTAAGTGTTGATTCTGGATTTTTGGGGAGTGGTGGCGGTTGTGACCTTGACTGCCATGTAGATCAGTATTGGATTTCTCAAAACATACATAGTCTTCATACCATTTTAATACCTGATTAAATCTAACCTTTCTTTTCATTAAAGTGAGAAAGGAATGATGACTAAGGGTCAGCAGCTGTGCACTGTAAGTCTCACCAGTTTCCTGTGGATTTCGAACAGACCTCAGGTTTCAAGTGGCACTATCCAGAAAACACCTACTTCCTTCCCAAGTGTCTGGGTGTACCACTAAGATAAACATCAGTTAAGAGACCAGAAAAAATATTTTGCCTGTTTTGCCCAGTTTTTATTTTAGTTTCAAGAAGGAAAGACTGCTGTCTCTGCCCCAGAAGAGGAGCTCTATCTAAGGAGGTATTCAAGAAGTGCTTCTTTCAGTGGCTGCTTGAATGTAGGTAGTTCTGGTCTGTCTTTTTCCCAGACCAGCAACTACCTCCTCTGCTGAACAGCAACATGCTCCTTTTCTGCCTACATCCTAGTCTAGATTGCTCTGGTGATCAAGAATGGCTAAGAACTAAGTAATAACCCATAGAAGTGTCTACCCCTGCTTTCCCGAGGTTCTGGTGGACTGTAGCAAGTCTGTTTTCAATGGAAGCACTTGCCAGTCAGTAAAGCTTACTCCTTTCCATGCTATAAAAAGAGGTGGAGTGGGTAGTTTTAATGATTAATTAAGTGTAACTGTCAACTGATAAGAAATTATAGGGCCTGAAAATTCCTTTAAGAGCTCCTGCTTCATTTACCATTTTAACTATCCAAGTTCATTCTACTGTTAGTTACTGTCAAACTCATTCTGTTTCCCTTTTTATACCTATAATTGTGACATACTATCATTGTTTTCAAGGAGACATATAGCATTATTGAAATCCTACTATATAAGAGGCAGCCTAAACAATCCACATTGTGGCATTATTTTGGTAATGCTGCAAGATGGCAAGATGCTATTTCTGGCCTACTGCAGCATCTTTGCTTCCTAATCAGTGTAATGTGAAGATACCTGTGTGCCATGCAAAACATGGGTATATTTGTTAACAGAATGATAAGTCGGGGAACTGTAACTTTTTCAAATTGCAGGCCCTACTTAGACTTTCAGTCCACCTGAAATGAGATTATTTTAAATGCAGTACTTGTAGGGAATTTTAAATAGCAGCCTGCCTCTGGTAAAGCCCTGATGTTTCAGGATGCCATCTTGGGTGCCAGCTTCCATCTTTCTCAGCTTATATAGTTACTTAAATAAAAATACATCTTTCAAAAGAAGTTTGTGTCGACTGCTGCCAAATATTTTGCTTCTGTTGATCTGAAAATTTAGTTTGTATTTCATTGCATCTGGTCTATTGCAGGTTGTTGTTTCACAAAATGCTTTCTTAAAGGCATAGAGTTCATATTATTTTTGTCCACTGTTTCTAATTATGCAGCAGTACTGTGTAGGCTACTAATGGTGTTACAGCACTAAGGAGCTTTTTGGACTCAAGTTAGATGCCAGGGAAACATTATTAATTTTCAAAACCAGCCATTGCCTGTGACTCTGATGGTACTAGAGGGAAGTGATGAAATGAGATGAAACCATTGCAGGCTCATGCTACTGAAAAGAATTGCTTTAGATGACATCTCTTTCCGCACTATGTGGTTGCATGTCCAGCAGGCAAAGGTTTGCAGGAGTGACCAGAACTTACTTTTTTGTTGCTCTATTTCATGTATGTTGCAACAGTCAGAGAGCTTCTTGGATCACCAGGCTCTCTTAGGTGTATGGACCTACCTGCATTTTGATGCTGAGTCCCTTTCAACACATAAAGTAAAGTCTCAGTTTGCACATTCATATGCGAGTAAGGTCAGGTACTCCTGAAGTTTTGAAGTCCCTCAGTAAAGGCATTAGTTACAAGTGTTATTCTTTGTCTGATTCATACTAGCAAATTAGGATCCCCTACCCTAGTCTTAATCATAGAATAGTTTGAAGAGGACCTGTAGAGATGACCCAGTTCAATCCCTGCTCAAAACAGGATCATCTGTAACAGGTTGTTCCAAGTCTCCTCCAGTTGTTAGGTTTGCATGTTTTCTTTCTCTTCTAATGGACTTTTCCCCAAACTTCTATTTTCTTTATGAGTACTTGTGCTGCTCTGGGACAGAGAAATAGAAAGAAATAGAAGGGGTTTTTAGTCCGGAGTGCAAGAAGTCTTGACAGCAATTTGTTTTAGCAAGTCAAATTTATATATCTCTGGTATATCTAATAATAAGCTCTGTGGACAGGCACATATGGGCCCATCACTGTCTTGTCCTGGCTCCAAGTTGTCTTATCATTGCTAGAATTTTTACATTGTATGAAAATGTGTTCTAGTAAACTGCTGAGGGAGCATGGGTGATTTAAGCCAACCTGTTTACCTTTGCAATGGGCTTTAATAACACATGTGGTTAAAGTAGCTCCACTGACAAGCAGTAATTCACTAAAGCTGAGCACTCAGTCATATATCCCAGCCTGAATCCAAGCCAGGACATTCAGCAGTTTTGACGGTGTGGGCCAGATGCCAGTTTGGACTTATGTCTGGAGAAGTCACGCTGATCTCCAGGCTTGCATGGAGTCACCAGTGTAATAGAGTAGTTAATTACCATGGCTCGTGTGTGCACAGCAAGAGAGAAATGTCACTTGGACATTAGGATAGAGTTGTCCTATGAACAGAATATACCCGGCTCCCAGAAGGATACGTGGGATCTAGATAATCAGTAACTTCTGTTGTAGCTGCAGGCAGTGTAATTGTTTCTTTCCTTAGTTGTGTGCTACTTGTTTTTGTGAGAGGTCTGTGGAGGTGGTGGGAATTTGACACTGGTGGTATGCCAGGGTAGTTCTCTGTAAAGCTTTGCTAGAGGGGAAGCTCTCATAGTGGGAAAGAAGGAAGTACATTCTCCATCTATTAAGAGAAGGAGCAGGGAAGCATACATAAGGAAAATAAATTTATACGCTTTCATGCTTTGTTTTCTACAGATTTTCAGAGCCACAGAAATGAAATAATTTGCGTAACAGTAATTTCAGACACTAGAGAATCTTAAAGAAAATCCTCAACATAAAGCTTACTGGTAAACAAACAAATGAAAATCTGCTAAGAAGTTGCCTTTTGAACAGATAGCATGAAATAATGTACTGGATCACAAAGAGCATGTGATATACTTGCATTCATTATAGTTGTTTCCTGCCAAGTGAGACTTGGTTCTAATAACATGCTGCTGCTGCTGTGACTGTCAGGACTGCTCTTCATATCACTGCTTGCAAATACATTTCTTTTTCTGACAGCATTTTAAATCCTGATTCTTTTACCCATGAACATTCAAGGGTATGTTATTGATCCAAATCATGAAAGGCTTTGTACATCCATTATGAGAGACAAAACACAGCAGAGATATGTCATGCTCACCCCCAGGTGAAGAGCCAGCCACCCATCCTGGAAAATGGAGCTGAGAGTTGGGCCTCTGTGGTAGATCTGTTTACAGCATAGAATCACCATGCTAAAGAATGAGGGGATTGATTGGATCAGGTCTGTTGCTCTTGTTTATAAGCAGTGATTTAGTAATGCTGCAGACTTTTTTCTCTAGACTGTGTAGGTTTTTTTCAAGCGGTACAGTCTGTTAATTCTGGCAGCCTGTTTTGATAGTATAAGGTGCCTAAGTAGAACTTCTTCAGAATCTCTAATTACTCCATTTGCTCACATTTTTGGGGTATAATGTAGGACTGAAGAAGTGATGTGTTATCTTATTTCCACCCCACCTCCTCCTAGATTTCTGATGCTATAGACCATCTTCAAGAAGCCCTGCAACTGTGCAAAGATGACATGAATTCACTTCATCTACTGGCCCTCCTCTTTTCATCTCAGAAGCACTATCAGCATGCATTGGATGTTATCAACATGGCTGTTGCTGAATACCCAGAAAGCTTTAGGTAAGAGTCGTTGCCTGGTGCCATACTCCAGTCAGGAATGAAATGCTCACTAGCTTTGTTGTTTGCAGTTATACACAGGGGAGCCTGTTAAATTGCATGCGTTGCTGATGTGTCACTCTCCTCCTGGAGAGGGTATTCTTTTACTGTCTTCACAGTCTTTCTGTAACCGTTATGCTTGCTTTCTTTTCCAGTACTTGTCTTTCTGTATTATGCTGATGGTGTTGTTTCCTGTACATCTCCCTGTAGTTTTTTGTATTTCACTTTAGATGTGGAGAAATGAGCATGATACAACTGTGACAGTGTCTGTATCACAAATAATTTTGTATTTGGTAACTTCCTGCTTAAAACCAACTTTTTCTTGCATTGACCATTGTTTTGATGCTCATCTATGACACAATTTGCTGCAGTATGACAGCTGTGGAAAAAGATCATTTGAAAATCACAAGCTGTGATAATGTATAGCTGAGAGGAAGGATGATTTATGATTTATCTGCTTAGGAGTAGGTTGAATCAGCACAGACTTCTTGGAGGCAAAGGCTTCCCCTGTTCTATGTTTGACTCAGACCTTCATCCATCTGAGGGAGGTAAATTGAATTCCATGCAATTTACTGTCATGACCTTTCAAAACAATTAATTTGTCTGTTCTGTGCAAAAATTAAAGCTACTGTAATATTCTCTGGTGATTTCATACTAGCTGAGTTTCTCCACCAAACTGCAGAAAATCCTACTGCATTGGTGAAAAACCTACTTTCGTTTGGAACTGCCTGTACTTAAATGGTGTTCTAAACCTGTGCATCATTGTCTTTAGATAGCCTGTGTTCTCGGGAGCAAGAGGGAGCAACCTCCACAGGTTTAGTCCAGAAGCTGAGTGGAATATTGTCTAAATAGAGCAAAGGAAGGTCAAAGGAAGAGTGAGACTGTCTGACTGTGAGCTTGAATGCTTTAGGGCCTGTCAGAGTTATGGTGCTGTATCAGCATATAATGTTTTTATTGCAAGCTGCATGTTGCCATTTAAAAGAGGTTTGCTGCCTGTGTTTTTGAGGTTAGTTACTTTGTGTATGTGAGGAGCTAAGACTGTCAATGCACATCTTTGAGAATGAAGTGGAAATTAGTAATGGAAATGCTCTTAAAATGATGCCAACATCTCTTTAGAGTGTGAACATAGGTATGACTAAAGCAGGAAATAGCCCAGTGGCTATTCAGTGGCTGCTGAATTGTATTTTAAGGTTTTAAAGTAATAAACATAATAAAAAACCCTTATACAGTCAAAGGTCACATTGTACAGAGATCAGATGTTTGTTGAAGACTACAAAAACACCTAAAGATACATAAGACAGAGGAAGAGGTTGTTCATGTCAGGAGAAGAGTGTTTGCCTTGTCCGATTGACCCAACTGGTCCATCATGTCCTGGATCTTTCCCCCAGCAGTTACTGATTATCTATGTTTCAGGGGAGGACAAAACTTAGCAAACATTGTATGCAGAGTGGCTTGGAGGGCTGCTGGGTGGGTTCCTTTGTGCTGTCTGGTAATCTGATTTCCCCAAAACTGAAAAGAATACTATTGCTTACATTTCTGTGTGTGTGAATTTTGGTGTGCACAAAGACCTTTGCCAAGAATAGGTTGTTTTTGATAGAAACAATTGGTATTGGTAGTGAAGGCCCAGGTTCATGCTTGCTCCTAGACACAGCCTTGCTAAAGTGTGTGCCCTTGGAAGGGCTTCTCTTTGCTCCTTGCATGCACAGGCGTGTATAATAAGGCTGACAGTGAGCCTCATTCACAGGTACACATGGATGGATGACTAGAGGCTGGCTTCCCTGTGCCGTGTGTCCTGTCTCCATGTGGGTCTTTCTCTTAACCAGCCAGCAAGTAACTCATTGTCTTGGTTCTAGAAGACAGGTGTCTGCTAGGGAGAGCAGGAGCCTCCCTTGGGATGAAAGAATGTAGACCCCCTCCCTCCGAATTATTATAATTTTGAAATCAAGGGGGCTTTCAGGCAGAGATCTGGGGATAGGAATAACAGTTCTTTACTAGTATAACCAGGCAAACAAACAAACAATAACTACAGAAATAACAAGGAAACAGAACCAGGGACCCCGGGACAGCTTTCTCAGCTGAGACGGGATGGAGGAGAGGCTTTGTTTTCACAAACCCCTCGGGCGGGCAGTCCCGGTGCTCCTGCAGGGCTCCGAGGAACACTCAGCTGGAACCAGCAGAGACGAGCTGAGATCCCAGGCCGGTGGCTGAGGTGTATCAGCAGCTCCGCGGCGATGGCTGGCACTGTCACACGTCCCAGCAGGACAGGGGGTGCGAGGCCACCAACGAAGAGGGAAGAAGGAGACGAAGCAGCAGCTCCATCTGGGTGATGGTGAATTCCCTTCTCAGCAACAGCTCTGCGCCCCAAAGTGTCCTTCTCTGAAGCTGAAGAAGCCCGCCAAACTGTCCCCGCCCTCCGCCTTTTCCTGCCCCCTTTCCCCCTGGGCCCAGCTGAACTCTGTATTTCTCAAGTACCCACCAAGTACCTGCAGTGAGGTTTTTCCCCCGCAACTAAAGGGTAAAATTTCCACAGGTGAGCCAGAACTAAAAGGAGGACACTTAACCCTCAACAACTGCCTTATAGAAAAATGCTAATTTTACTACTGTATGGAATGACTACAAGATGTTTAATGTAAATAGTGTAGGCAAGTTCAACTGCATGATTTTAAAGCTGTATTTAAAAGTGGTTGATTATTTTTCCCAGTTCACATTTTTATGAACCAGGCAACTGTGCAATGTGGTGCCTGGGGGCTCCCTTTCTAATAACATCTTTCTGGAAGCGCAGTTTGATGGCATGTATCAAGAAACGATGATGAAAGCTGCATTAAGTGACCTTAGAGCTCTGTAGATGTCAGAAATAAAGTCCAGAAACATTACCCAGATGTATGTCTTAAATAAAAAAAAGCATAAGATGGAAAAAATTAAGGACTTAGCTGACCCAAACTACAGCCATCTCATACTGTTTCCCTTATCTCTGTGTGTAATTAAAGTGAATAAGTTCCTGCTTTCTTGGTTTTATATTAAATACTTCCATTACAAAGTTTAGGAAATATTTCTTCAGGATAGTTCATGTAGTTGACTGTTGGCTGAAACAGTTGGAAAAATACGCTGTATTGCTCAGCTAACACACAACATCCTTTGGCATGAATTTCATAATACTGACTTAAATATGCCTGAAAGTGCCCCTTGTTCATATGTTTAAACATTTACTACACATTTCAGAGGTTGATATGGTGCTCAGGGTGGAGGGATGTGAAATGTAAGCACTGAATACAGCGAGAGATGCAGTGGTTTGGACTAAGCTGTTGAAGAGCTGGATATCCAAAAGGCACAAAATGAACTTGGGAAGATGACTTCTTGAAAGGTGACATACAGCAACAAATCCACTACATTACAGTCTGTGAGTGACTGACTGAATTTGAACACTTAAATGTACTGTCAAGCAATGACAGAGGAAGACTTCATAAAAGAAGGAGAGCCAGCTATGCTAAGCATATTGCAAGCTGGAGTGAGCCAGAAGAAATAGACTGTCTTGCCATGACTATAAAAGATAGAAATAGCAACCTTTACATGGAAGGTATCATCTGAAAATTGCTGATACCTCTCTATGAGGTGAGGCTGCCCAGGATAAAGCTTACTGATTTTACATCCTGTCAATGATGGTATGCTTTTAAAACAAGCAAATGAATGTAGTACCAACAACTGGCTTTGGTATATATTTTCAAAAGAACTATCTTCAGCACATTTGGGTTAGAAGACTCCTGTTAGCATCAGGTGTCTCCTTTCCAGGTCAGTAATGCTTATCATAAGCCTTTCTGAAGATGGGTTCCTTTAATTTGTTTTCCAGCTCAAAGGCTAGCCTTTGGTTAGTGTTCTACCTGAGTCTGGCAATAGTTAACTCTGCAGGCTTTTCTCAGAGAGGAAATAATGTTCATGAACTCTCCTTTGCTCTCCAGGGGATCCTCTTAAAATAATTCATTGTTTATTTAGAAAGAATTTTGCTTTTTAAAGTCTGTATCTGTCTCACAGTGTTCCATGCAGAAGTCCCATGGATTTAGCAGTCTGCAGAATCCACCACAGAGCCTAACATGCTCCTTTCTTTTCAGCTATATTTCCTCTTTCTAGTTTTGCTTGTGTAAAAGTGTCTTTGCCTTCCTGATTCAGCCACTCTTCCAGACAACTGTTTTGCTCTCTGGTCATCATCATTAGAACTTTTCAGTTCTAGTCGGTTAGCTTCCGCCATTGGAAAAAAATTATTACTATACCAAGTATAAAGTTGGAAATGGCATATCAGTTTTATGGGTACTCTATTGCTCCTGGACTGCTTATTCAAACCTATTCTGTTGTTCACAGATAGTATTCAGATAGTTTCTTGTCTCCTGGATGGCTGCCCATTATGTTAGAACAATACAATCCTCTGGCATAACATGTCACATAATCTAATTGCTGCCCAATGTGATGGTGAATATTTTGTTAAATGACCATGTCTCTGTGAGTGTTCTTCATGTTGCACAGGGGTTTTAGCAGTCTTAAATGAACAGATGCTAGTATTCCTTGTCTTTCTAGACAATAAGTCACTATTCTGTTGCTCTCAAAGTCTGTAAGCTATTTACAAAGAGAAACAACAGAATTTTTGGGAAGCTGTTCTACACATAAAGACTCAAAAAGAAACAGGTGGGTTGGTGTTTTGGAGGAATGTAGCTGTCAAATGTAGGTACTTTTGTTCTACAAAAAGCTAGCACAAAATTACTGTAAATGTAATGAAAAAAAGGCTCAGAAGACCAATAAATATTAAATGTGTATCTTGGAAAATGTTTTTTAAAAAGGCAGTAAATTCTGCTTGGGGAATTGTGTGTACTGTGTTGGTGTTGTTTTAGTAGAAATGTTTTTTTATTATAGCCAGCCCTCAAAATATGAAGTCCTCTTCTAGATTAGAAGTGGTTTACTGACAGAAAATGTCCTTGATT